GCCTTAAATCAGTAATCTAAGCTTCCACCTTAAGAGAAAATGAGAAAATTAAATAAAAGGCAATAATAAAGATGAGAACAGAAATATGTAAAAGAGAAAACAAAAAAAGTCAAAAGTTGGTTTCTTTTGAAAACATCCCCCAAATTGTTAAACCTTTAGCTGAAACGACCATGAAAAAAAGACAAGACACAAATTACCACAATCAAAAATTACTGAGATCACAATTTATCCTTCAAAAAGTAAAAGGATCATGAGGAAACACTGTAACATTATGCCAACAAATCGGACAACTTATAAATGAAGAAGAAACAGAAAACCTGAATAGATCTGTAACTAGAAACTGAATTAAGTCATTAAAAATTTTCCCACATAGGGACACCTGGGTGGCTCAGTCGGTTGAATGTCTGCCTTCAGCTCAGGTCATGATCCCAGGGTCCCGCATCAGGCTCCTTGCTCAGCAGGGAGCCTGCTTCTCCCTCTGCCTGCTCTGCCTGCCACTCCCCCTGCTTGTGTGCTCTGACAAATAAATAAAATCTTAAAAAAAAATTTTTTTTAATTTTCCCACATAGAGGGCGCCTGGGTGGCTCAGTTGGTTGGGCGACTGCCTTCAGCTCAGGTCATGATCCTGGAGTCCCGGGTCGAGTCCCGCATCGGGCTCCCTGCTCAGCAGTGAGTCTGCTTCTTCCTCTGACCCTCTTCCCTCTCGTGCTCTCTATCTCTCATTCTCTCTCTCAAATAAATAAAATCTTTAAAAAAAAAAAAAAATTTCCCACATAGAAAAGCTAGGGCCCACCCACATGGCTACACTGGTGAATCCTATCAAATATTTTAAAAAAGAAGTAACACCAATCCTAATAAATTCTTTCAGAAAATAAAGGAAGAAAGAACATTTTCCATTTCATTCTATTATCCTGATACCAAAGCCAGGCAGACATCACACACACACACTCGAGCACACGCACACTTGCATAGAACTAGAGACTAAAATCCCTCAAAAACAAAGATGCAAAAGTCTTTTAACAAAATATTAGCAAAATGAATCCAGAAACACAAAAAGGATGTAACATCATGACTAAGTCAGATTTATCACAGGAATGCAAGACTGTCTTAACGTGTATAAAGTAAGTATTGGTAGAATAAAGAACAAAAACCATAGTCATCTCAATAGATCCTGGGGGGAGGGGGGGACGATGACATGAGACAAAAATCTAACACTCATTCATTATAAAAACTAGGAATAGAAGAAAACTTCCTCAACCCATTAAAGGGTATTTACAAAAATTCTATAGCTAACATCCTGTTCCCAATTCTTATTCAACATGGACATTCCGAAGAATACCACAGGGCAAGAAGTAAGAGGCATCCATCCACATTGTAAAAGTAGAACTTCTTTTACTTGGAGAGGTGATCCTATACCTAGAAAACACTAATAAAGAAAGAACAACAACAAAAACAGTGGAAATAATTTTTGCAAGCTCCTAAGGTACAAGATTGCTATAAAAAACTCACTCTATTACAATCTGAAAATTAGATTAAAAAATCAAAATAAGTATGAATAAATTTAACAAAAGAAGTATAAGCCTAATAACATTGAAAACTACTAAACACTGTTGAGAAAAATTACAGAAGATCTAAATAGAGGAAACTTTCTATGATGATAACTTAGAAGGCTCAATATTGTTAAGATGATAACTCTAAATTGATACCTACATTCAACACAATGCCTATCAAAATTCTTGCAGAATTTTTTTCCTTTCAGAAATTAACAAGCTGATCCTAAAATGCCTATGGGAATACAAGGAACTAGAATAGCCAAAGTAATTTTGATAAAAGAACAAACTGAATTTGTATTTCACCATTTTAAAAATCAGTATAAAGCCACAGTGATCAAGACAGTGTGGCATCATTGTTAAGGGCAGAAATACGTTATCAACAGATTAAAACTGAGAATCCAGAAACAGAACCTTACATTCATGATCTCATCTGATTTTCAATACGTTATCAACAGATCAAAACTGAGAATCCAGAAACAGAACCTTACATTCATGACCGCATCTGATTTTCAACAAAGGAACCAAGGCAAAGGTATGCTTTTCTTTTTTTTTTTAAGATTTTTATTTTATTTATTTATTCGTAAGAGAGAGAGAGAGAGAGAGAGGCAGAGGGAGAAGCGATGCAGGGCTCAATCCCAGGACCCCAGGATCACCACCCGAGCCGAAGGCAGACGCCCAACCATCTGAGCCACCCAGGCACCCAAGAAAGGTATGCTTTTCAACAAATGGCACTAGGACAACTTCCAAAATCCCACTGCAAAAAAATGACCTTAAGTCCTCACACTTCACACTATAAACAGAAAGTGCAAAATGGAACAGAGACCTAAACATAAGAATTAAAATTCCTGTAAGAAAATAAAGAAGAGGGCGCCTGGGTGGCTCAGTCATTGGGTGTCTGCCTTCGGCTCAGGTCGTGATCCCAGGGTCCTGGGATGGAGCCCCTCATCGGGCTCCCTGCTCAGCAGGAAGCCTGCTTCTCCCTCTCCCACTCCCCCTGCTTGTGTTCCCTCTCGCTGTCTGTCTCTCTGTGTCAAATAAATAAATAAAATCTTAAAAAAAAAAAAAAGAAGAAGAAAGTCTTTGTACCTTAGGTTAAGCAAATATGTCTTATTTTATATGACATTAAGCACAATCCATTAAAAAATTGATAAATTATACTTCATCAAATTTACAAACGTTTTGTTCTTCAAAGACAACATTAAAAAAATAGCCACAGATTGGGACAAAATACTTGCAAATCATAAAGCACCTGAATCTGGAATACAAAAGAGTGAAGGAAGGAAGGAAGGAAGGAAGGAAGGAAGGAAGGATCTCTTCGACTCTTGAGACAACCTAATTTACAAATAGGCAAGGAAGACTTAAGACATTTCACCAAAGATACACAAATGGCTAATGAACACATGAACAGATGTTCAACATTATCATTCATTGTAAAAGTGCAATTCTGAGCCACAATGAGATACCACTACACTCCTACCAGAATGACTAGAACCCAAAAGACTGACAAGTATTGGTGACCATATAGAGAAACTAAAAATTCAAACATTTCTGGTGGGAATGGCAAATGGAAATCAGCCTGGTAGCTTCTTAAGTTAAATACATACTTTCCAAACAATCCGGCAATTTCACTAAGTATCTAATGAAGATAAATAAAAATATATGTCCATGCACAGACTCAACAGTCCAAAACTGCAGCAACCTAAATGTCCATCAACTAGTGACTGGACGCACAGATAATGGACTACTACTCCATTTTAAGAGAATTAACTCCTGATAAACTCAGTGACACAGGTGAAGCTCAAAAAAGTATTATGCTAAATGAAATAAGCCAAAAACAAAAGACTACTTATTAGGATTCCATTTATATGAAATTCTAGAGAAGTTAAATCTCTAGAGATGAAAACCAATTACTGATTGCCTAAGGCTAGAGGTAGAAGCAGAAATTAATTAGACAGACAAGACGGAACTTCTCTGGGTAAAGAAAATATTCTAAAACTAGATTATGATGGGTGCACAACTCCAGACATTTACTGAAAAATACTGAATTGTATCCTTACAATCATGTATTTCATGGTATCTAAACTGTATTTCAACACTTTACAAAAAGTTAACAACACATGGGGGAAGGGACCACTTTTATGTTTTTCATTATGCTATCCCAAACACGCCTTGCTCAGTTTATGCACATAGTAGGCACAAAAATCTTTTCTGAGTTAAAATAAAAACAAACTGTGGAGCATTTCCCTATCAATGTGACCCCTGACTGCTTACTGCACGCCAGAACCTACTCTAGGCAATGTGGACCACTGATGGATTACGTAAACCAGATCCCTGCTGCTTCTTATGCATAAATCTAATGACATGAGATGAATGAGGAAGAAATGAGACACGGGAGGTGCCATGAAGAAAATAAAACAGGGTAGGGCGATATGCCCATCCCACAGGCAGCTTCAGTTAGGTGGTCTGAGGAGACATCTAAAAGGAAGGCTGAGGCAAAAATGTTAAGACGTGACTGGCCACGTGAAGATGAGGGGGGAGAACATTCCAGACAAAAAGAGTGGCAGGGGCCTGGCACGTTACAGGTACAGGAAGATGACAAAATGGCTGAAGCAGAATGAGTGGTGAACAAAGTGGGACTGGAGGAGTCAGAGTACTATTGAGGGGCCACACAGACCAGGGTCTTCCAAGTTAGGGTAACAGATTTAGATTTCATTCTAAGGATCACTGAATACCACTGGATAACTTTTAAGTTTCAGGAAACATGCATAGCATCTCTCCCATAAAAATCTTCTCAATAAAAACATTCCACGATTCTTTAGTAAGTTAAAGATCTGAATAACACCTAATGCTGACAGCTTATTATCAAAGGTTTGGGTTTGGGGCGCCTGGGTGGCTCAGTCGTTAAGCATCTGCCTTCGGCTCAGGTCATGATCCCAGGATCCTGGGATCGAGCCCCGCATCCGGCTCCCTGCTCCGCGGGGAAGCCTGCTTCTCCCTCTCCTACTCCCCCTGCTTGTATTCCCTCTCTAGCTGTGTCTCTCTGTCAAATAAATAAATAAAATCTTAAAAAAAAATAAAAATAAAAATAAAAGGTTTGGGTTTAAGATATTAATGCTTATCACACTGTGTATCTTATATACATCATTTCAATTATTAATTACCTTGTAACAACAGTGAGAAGGTCTGAGGTTTCCTATTTACCAATTATTTCCCCAAAGCATTAACTGATTTAAACATCTGGTAGGTAACTCCTCCTTGACATGCTGAATTCTGTGCCTCCTAACATTTATTATGAAACATTTTACTAATTTTGTTCCTGCACCAGTTTAATGTTTTGCTGTCCCCAAATCATGCCATCTGTCTTCCCTAAGGTCTATTTTTTAAAAGTTAAAAACATTGGCATTTCAGACATTCTCCATCTTTCGAAATACACAGGAAGGAGCTTACTTCTCCGGCATAATAAAGTGCAGCAAGGACCAGAGCTCCTTGAGGGAATTCTGAAGAGGGGTCCCCGTAATCAGGAGCCTATGGTGGGACTTGAAATCAATCAGAGTTTTATACAATAAAGAGTCATCATTCTTCAACCGATGGGCTTCATCCACTCCCAGAAAGGCCCAGTTAATACTGCCCAGCACAGTCTAAAGTAAAAACAAAACAGAACGAGCCACCAGGTCAGAAGGGAACCCAAAAGTACTTTCAAGTGTTAATTATCTCTGTACAAATACCATCACAAAGGTATACATAGAAAACATTTATTTTTCATGGACTTAAATTGTATTAGGACTCCTCTGTTTATTCTGTTTTTGGCCAGATTGGTGTCTACTCAGAAGAGCACATCACCATCCAAAAGGTCTTGGGGAGAGGGGGAGTCTCTTATGCCAGGCATTGCTGCATGCCCCACAGCAAGAACTCAAAAATTGGTATGCTGGGCAAAAACAATACAAAAACAAAAAACACGATTTTGCACTCTCGTTAAGTCTTTTCTGCCTATTCTCCACCCCAACCATGAAGCACAGAAACACCAAGAGCCACCAAATTGAACTCATTTACACTTATTATCACCAATGGGACCACCTGCCACATACATTTCTTAGCAATTGTAGAAAGGAAATGGTATAAAGACGTTCATTTTTCTGTCCTCCTTGTAGAGACCATTCACATCATCTGCTGTGGAGAAATTCCTTGACAATGATATGATGGGAAATGCCCAGGATGGAGCTTAGGTAAGTTACTGGCCTCAATACCCTTTCATCCTGTTTAATTCAAATGGACTAAGCAATCTCAAGTCCCCTTCAACTGTAAAGTTCTGATTTTTATTTACAACCTTAACATTCTCTTTGGATTGTTTGTTCATTTGTTTGCTTTTTAAAATAAATAAAAAAAAGTAACAAGGCAAGCAGGAAGCAAGGACCCCACAATTTGGACAAGTCACACACCTTATCTTTTAAGAGGATCTCATATGTTGTTATAAGTGCATTGAACTTCAGCCTTTTAGTCTGAGAATGAATCCATTCATATTCCCGTATCTAGAAGAGAAATCAGTAATTAAGATACAAATTCTACTTTTACCTTTCTATATCACCAGCAATCTTGTGATAGATGCAATAGCAACATGCCAAATAAAAAATAAACCTGACCAGAATTTAATGAATATTTTATACATTCTAAATTGACCTAAGCAACCACAATATAGAGCAGTTATAAGAGAATTAAAATATCACTGAGCAGCAAAAACTTTACAGCCAGGTTTCAAATAAACTGTCATCTTCCCCCACCTCCGCTCCAACACAACTGACCAAAAACACGAATTGCATCTGCAATTAAACCCTGGTGACTTGAACTTATCTAGCAATCTCCCAAAATATGCATTTTCTTAAGAATATTTTATTATTCTTTGTTCTTTGGTAGGACAATACTTTTATTAACAAGTAGAACAAATCCCAACCTCTGGCTCAGTCAGAAATGTCATTAATCAGGAGCAGAAAGATGTGGCCTCCAAGAAAAAGGAAAGGGAAGGTTACAGGATTAAATGTAATTTAATATGAATGAAAGTAATGTCAGTGTAAAGGAACACAAAAACGAACATATCCATATGCAGTATAACTGGACACCCAGCAAGCACGATGGCCCATGACAAAGCTCCTGCAGTTTGGCTGTCCAGTTAGGAACTGCAGAACCGGGCAATGAGTGTGTGTGCAGGTGATCACCACCAAGTGGGAAGAAAGAGCAAAAAAAAAGGAGTATTGGAGTCCACATAGAAAACTTCCCTGACTCAAGTTTTTTTTTTTTTTTTATGTTATGTTCATCACCATACATTATATCATTAGTTTTTGATATAGTGTTCCATGATTCATTATTTGCATGTAACACCCAGTGCTCCATGCAGAACGTGCCCTCTTTAATACCCGTCACCTGGCTAACCCTCAAGTTTTCAGAGTTCACTTTGTCTTCACCTTTGAATGCAGTGCTTGAAGCCATTTTGCATTATCTAGGAAGGCTTTTTTTTCTTTTGTAACGGTTAACAAATGGATTAGCAAAGCTAAGAACTGCTATATGCTTATAAACTCAAAATCAGAGCAGTGAAATCTGGCAGGGTTTAGGTTAGACAATTTGAATGAAAATATTTAATAAAAACAAACTTCAATCAGCATAATACATAACTCTCAAAGGCTTGAGGATTCCTGATGGCTTGCTCTTGTGGTAAGACACCTCCCAGAAACAGTTGACTCTAATATACAGTAATGAAAGAGCAAAGGTCTGGGACCAGACACTTCTCTGTCCCAACCCCAGCTCTGCCACATTCTAGCTGGCCTGGAACAATGTTAAACTCTGAGAGTCCTTTTCTTCATCAATCAGTTAGAAAGAGCACCATCTACTTGGAGGACGATCATGAGGGTTACAGGTAATATACACAAAGCACCCAGCATGGGCCCTCGCACGTAACAGGTACTTTTGAAAAAGTCAGTCATTATCAAGAAATGATTTGCTAAACAGAGATCAACTCAAGCTGCCTCTGTTCTCTATGTTCCTGATGCTCACGTTAAGGTTGAAAACAGACAAGTAATTCTCATTTCTATAGCCCTAGGATGGCTCATTGTCCTTTCTCTTTATTACTTCCTTAAAAATTCTGCAACCTTACCAGAGAGAGTAGCTCTCTGCTAAGCCAGCAAAAATAATATTAACATTCCATGAGGTATTAACTCCATCTCATAATCCATTATAAAGCGGTCTTGGAAATACAAAAGACAGAGAAAACAAAAATACCGCAATCCAACTAAAAGAGATTCCCATTCATATACTGTCATTGCTTTCCTTTAAAATAGTAAGCATGTTTTAAAGAATATGTGAGTTGCATTTCTGTGATACATAAATCTCCCAACATTGGGGGCACAGCACAATGTCAGAATCATAATGTTACTGAAGACTATAATGGCTTTAGGTCAGTTTCCAAAATACATTTATAACACAGATTCTATCCCAATTCTTTTTGTTTACACACCGTATTTCTGCTCATCAGGTCACCTATGTAAACCACTACGTTAATCTCTGGTGCCCAGATTTCAAACTCCCTCTGCCATGAGGTGAGGGTGGATAAAGGGACGACTATAAGAAAGGGGCCATACAGCTGGTGTTGGTGGAACAGGTAGGAGAGGAATGATATGGTCTGGATGGTCTTTCCTAGGCCCATTTCATCGGCAAGGATTACACTGTTACTTCTGCAGAAAGAGAAAAACAAAACAAAACAAAACAAAATCATTAGTGTACACACACAGCAAGGACACCAATGTCTCACAATTCACCAAGCAGGCACTGGCTCCAAGCCTCGACTGTAGTACTTCTCCTGCATAAGAAGAAAGTAGAAGCTACAGGAGAGCAGAATAACAAGTGCTCTGAGTACAATCGAACTTTGGGTCATGACGAGAGCCTCTTCAGACTATGTTCTTGACCTTGCATTTTGGTGTTTGTTTTACTTCTAACCCCGGTAACAGAGGAGGCCGGTTTTGTTACACTGAGGTGTCCAAGAACATGACCTTGGGCTCCATCATTCCAGAAAGCAGAGGCAAACTGGCTATTCCCCACTGCTGCTGAACCCTACAGTCTGACAGTCAGTGCCTCTGCCCAAATCACCCACCCATTCCACTGTAGGCCACTGGGCTGCTGAATGCTACGCACACCACTCCCTGGGCCTATGTGCTGCAGTGCTTGTAGCTTGTTCTAAATACAGGACAATCTACAGCAGAGGCGGGCTACAGACCAGATTTCTGAATCCACCCTACACCTACCAAATGAGAATATCTGGGAAAGACCTCTGGGAAAGGCCTCAGGGATCTGTACTTTTAACAGACACTTCTGGATATTCTGATGCAGGTGTATTCCTTTGACCGCACTTTGAGAAACATTGCTCTAGGAGACAGTCTTGATTTCAACTGGATACTAACAGGAGAGGATTGTCCAGATAGAAGAAAAACACTCAAAGAAATGGCCAGAGTAGGAAAGTATGTTGGGAAATAGAAAACAGCCCATTTGGCAGGGAATTAGGAATAGATGTATGGCTGCATACATTAAGAGCGTCTTGAAAATCAGGCCACTGAAGGTTTACACATACTAACGAATGCTTAACCAATGAACCAGAAAGAACTAAAATAATATACAAGTTAAAGAAAACTGATTAGAAAAATAAAACATTCAATTTATCAAGAGATTAAATTTTTAAAAATACATTGTATGTTCCACAGAATGACTAATTTTAGGGGAAAAGAACAGAAAAGGACAAAAAATATACTGGGGGAAGGAGAAGGAGGAGCCATACCTCTATAAATTTCAGGTTCACCTGATTTTATGCACTATTCAGACACAGTATGTCCCTTTGAGTAATTTCCCTCCTATTTCTCTCACCATTCCACAGTAGTGGGGAGGAAACAGGGTTCATTTTCTCCAACATTTCCTCTCCCTAGCAAGCTGCCACTGTTCATATAAACACACTATAAAAGATTTGATTTGCCTGTTTTTCTAAAACTAGGCCAAAATAGCGTATTACTTAATGTAAGGTTCCGGTGACCAGGGCCTAACAATTGCATGGGCCCTCTTCAGCTGACTCTGAATTGTTCAGATGGAGTAGAAAATGCTTGCTGGCCAAGGACTCCACATGAACACAGTATGACTGTGAACCAGGTACATGACCTCTTCGTTCCTAAGAGCCTTCACAAGAGGGTCAGACTACATAGCTTGAGGTTCCATCTAGCCTTATAACTATCCTAAAGGAAGATTAGATCTCACTGTTCTCTGAAACAAAACCCATTTTCAAGCAATTTAGAATAGTTCTATCAGACCCACATTCTTAGTCATACAAACAGAATATCCTCAAGAGCTCTAATGTTCCTAAATGTTAGATACTGTATTAGATTTTATAGGACAAAGAGGATAGGTTGTTTTAATTGGGAAGCAGGCATTGTATATGTATCCCTAACTAGAAACCACTTTTTTGGCATTGAGAAAAGCAGCTCTTATGCTTTTATTTTCAAAAGGATGCAGTTTAATTCTGAAATAAGAATTTTTGTTTTACTATAAAACACTGAAAAAATTAAAAGCTGCATGTGGGCGAAGGAGTTTGTAGGCAAGTCTTAAAGGTACTTCTCACACTGTATGCCCTGTGAGGACATGATGTCTGTCTTGGTTCACTGTTCAACTGTCAAGGCCTAGAGGGGGCCCTCATACACAGTAATTAGAGACTAGGATTTGCAATTGAACTGAAGAATGAAATTCATGAGTACTGCCTCAAAGTACCTTTAACCTTCAAATGCTATTGTCGCAATTTTTTTTTTTTTTTTTTTTTTAAGAATTAAGGTGGTTTTGTTACAAAGCCTAATTTTACAGGTTCAACCATCAGAGACCTTCCTCTAAATGGGACAGCATGTAGAGCAATCTCAGGAGGGGGCAGATTTCATGCTATTCTTCAGCACTGCCACGGGACATTAAGTTGAAGGATTCCCTGGCCTAGAAGGAAAATGAACAAAAAACAGACATTTTCTTCTTTCTTCTGAGGAATACTCCTTCCATGCCAAAGATCTGGGCAAATTATCTTGCTATTTATACCCATGAATAACATGTTATGACACAGGTCTCTGGCTATAACGAATTACCCCCAAATAACTAATTAACCAAGTACTCGTTACTTCAGATTAAAATGAAATCACACACACATATAAACTGCTAGAAGAGCCTTCCCTTAATTACATACTTTTTCTGTTTCTGTAATACACAACAGAAAGAAATAATTACTTGCACTTAATAAAGAAGCCAGAAACTGTAAAGAAAATTTCATATTTTTCTACCTACTTGCACCAGGAATGAGCAAGCCAGTTGAGACCTTCTAGCTGATAATCACGGAGCTCCAGGTTCTCCCCTCCTAAATATGCTGGCTGTTTCTTTAAAGCCACAAATCGTGGTCTCTGCTTCAAGGCCTGAAAAACCAAAATTAAAGCCCCTGAAGAAGACTTTCTTGCAGTTCCTATGTAAAATGCTAGCCATGATTTATGTGCTCTGAACCATAGCCCAAAGGTCTAAATTTCACATCTGTATCACCAGCTCTACCCATCTGAGCCCACCCCACCTCCTTTCATTGTGGTCTGTATTCCCAAAGCCAAATGCATCCCAAATAGTTTTTGGTTCACATGATCCTGGTCCTGAAGTCAGTCTGTGAACATAACTACACAGCACTTTTTTTTATGTTGTCTCCATCATTCAGCAGGGAGTGCTGTACTATCATCTTTACGTTATCTCGTTCTAAACTATATAAAACACCACCTCTGGGAAAGTCTGTATACGCTACACCCAGAAGAACTTTACTGTAATAGCGTTTGCAAATTGTGAAATGCAGCCCCTATCTAGCTGGAACCCCCAGGTATGCTGAGTTTGGTTTTCTAAAGGAAAGGGTTTGAAGGACAGTGTGGTCTAGTGGGCCATGTCTCTATGGTTTGCACAAAATACAGATTCCATGGTTAAATCCATTTGGGAAACAATGTAATAAAAGTTACACAGGGCGCCTGGGTGGCTCAAATGGTTAAGCGTCTGCCTTCGGCTCAGGTCATGATCCCAGGGTCCTGGGATCAACTCCCGCATCGGGCTCCCTGCTCCACGGGAAGCCTGCTTCTCCCTCTGCCTCTCTCTCTCTCTCTCTCTGTCTCTCATGAATAAATAAATAAATAAAATCTTTAAAAACAAAAACAAAAACAAAAGTTACATAAATTTCGTTACGCTTGTGCATATTGTGAGTTTACAGGGAAAATTCATTTAGGAATGCTTCCCAAAGTTCTTTGGCCACAAAGTCTTTTTTCAGGAAGTATTTCCCTAAAGGGCTCTGTGGAATTAGCACCCTACTATGTGAAGTATCATCCTAAAAGTCTATTTGATAACGTGATCACTGATCATCTCAGCTCTCCTCTGTGAGCACCCAGCAGTAAACGGAATCTGACTCCTCACGCTCAGCCACCAAACACCGCATCCACTTCTGCCAAGTCTCCCCCATAAGGCTTCTCCCATCCGATCCTTCCATCCTACCACAACCTCCCTTGTCCTCACACTATTCTTCCCTCATGGACTTCTATGGCATCTTCCTGGCCAGACCTGCTGGCTTTTGTAAGCGCCTCCTCTAGAGTCTCCTACACACTGCTGTGAGATGGAGCTAAATACAGTTTCCATCCCGCTGCTCTTCTCACATCAATACCCAAAGGTAAAGCCCAAACTACCTTCAAGGCATTCAAGACACGCACCCTCGGACCTAAATGCACTCACCGTATCACTTTCCTCTCTTCCCACCCAAAGAACATCTTTCTCCTACATCCTTCATGGGAGGGCAATAACCCGGGCCCCCCTTCCTTTATCTGGCACTAACCCATTCTTCAAGGACCAGGGCAGTTCAAGTACCATGACCTCCTCTTTAACTCTTTAAAACCTCCTCAAGGACTACTGGAGCTCAGTGATTTCTGCCTCTGTACTTCTCTGACCACAAATTCTTGATTATACTCTGCCCCAATTACACAGTGCATTTCACAGAGGGAGGTTTGGTGCCATGAACTGGATGTTAACTTCTCAGAGACAGAGCCCATGTTTACACAGACTTTTATTAACGAGGCACACCACTTTACATGGGCAATGGATTCCAATGAAGGGAAAGGATTTGTATAATCGATCTAGCAACTAAAAAGGCCTACGTATTTATATATATATATCCCCTTTTCTGTCACTTCTCTTTGAAGTGCTTAAATTCTCTCAAATATTCTGCACACTATCTCTAATGAGACATACCCAGGTCTGTGAATTTAAGAATAAAGAGGTCAGCAAAGCCATTATACAACTCATGCTCTCCCTTTGTTTTAATATTTTACTTTGCTGTCAAGCTTAATTCATCTTCTTTCACTTCAAAATGGGAATTATCATTTACTTTTGTAATATTTTCTCTTCCCAGTATCTATGTGACCAACCCTTTCTATCAATACCTCTTTCCCCTGGAAAATCAAAAGCCAGCAATCACCACACCTTGCATTCTCTTGTCGGGATGGTTTTTGAGTTGTTCCGGCTATGGAAGCTGTCAATACAGCTCTGGAACTTCTTGCCAATCAAGGCTTCATCCTCCCAGCTGCACTCTGAATAGGGCAGTCCCATCCATTTGCATAGGTATTCAGGTTCATTTGAAGGTGCTGGCTTCCGACTATGAGCTATTTTATATACAAAAATTAGTAGGTTAGCAACTGTCATTAAAGGAGGGGAAGTGACAATTCCGTTTTACATATAACCACTGAAACACCACACGGCAAGACTGTAAATACTCTACAAAACAGAACTGCTCTTAAATGCTAACATTTATTAACCAGAGCTTTTGCTTACCTGGAAAGTCTGTCTGACCCAGTGTAGATTTGCTTGTCTTCACAGCTAAGCAAATGGAAAATAAGACAGAAAAGTTATCACTATAACCAAGAAAAGAGTGACATTTTAGGTCCTACGAGGAAGAATACAAATTTACTCTATAATCTTGCATCATAAAAAAAAAAAAGAGAGAGAAGAAAAAACAGTCCTGTTCTCACAGCCCTGTGTAGCTATTACCCCATCCCTCTGTTCCCGCTTTTCAACAAAACTCCCCAGGAGACGTGTCTCTCCTCACTGTCCTCCTCATTCTCTCTTCAAGCCACCTCCATCAGGTCGGATCCACCTCACCAGCACCGCACCAGGGCCAAGTTCAAGCATCCGGTTTCAGTCCTCACAGCATTTAGCTAGCAGCATCCCCTCCTTCCCAAGCCCCATGAACTGCTTGGCCTCCAGGATATACTCCCTCAGCGCCCCTCTGATCTCACTGGCTGTTCTTCCTCGTCTCCTGTGGCTTCTCCCTGACTTCCAGAACCTGGAATGCTCTCAGACTTCCTGTTCTCACTCTGTATACTATTCCTGATAGTCTCAGTAAATCTTAGGCTATTTAAATACTATCTACGCAGTGATAAATTCCCAAATGTAAATCTCCAGCACAGACTAGGAGGTCTGAACTCCAGGCTCACATATGACAGCCTCCACAATACTTCCCACTCAGACAGCTAAGACGTATAGCAAACTTACAAGTATCAAACCAAGTTCTTGACTTCCACTCCAAAAATCAGCTCTTCCCTTAACCTTCCCATTTCAGTAAATAGTACCTCTATTCTCCTATCTGCTTGGGTCAAAAATCTTGGCTACATACTTGACACCTTTCTCTCATCCCCCACATCCAAATTTACCAGCAAATCTTGTTAACTTTTCCTTCAAAATAAACCTAGACATCTATTGTCAAAAAGTAAACCCACAAAATGCGTTTTTTTAATTTACATTACCCCAAAACCAAAAGCCATTATTCATGGACCTCAAACACTACTGAAGTAAGTTTCCGGGGCTACTGGGTGGCTCAGTCGGTTAAGCGACTGCCTTCAGCTCAGGTCATGATCCTGGAGTCCCGGGATCGAGTCCCGCGTCGGGCTCCCTGCTCGGCGGGGAGTCTGCTTCTCCCTCTGACCCTCCCCCCCTCTCATGCTCTCTCTATCTCATTCTCTCTCTCAAATAAATAAATAAAATTTAAAAAAAAAAAAAAAACACTACTGAAGTAAGTTTCCATGTGCTCACCAATTACTCTTTCGACTATCTGATACTGCTTGTTCAACTCTGAGGCCAGCTCTTGTTGGCAGTTAAAATATTCCACATCTTCAGGAGAGACTTTTCCTAACCTAGACAGAAGACAAAAAAATACATCCCAGTTAAGATTTGAGAGACCTACATACATCTATCAGAGTAAAGTCAAAAAGAGGAAAAGAAACTGAGTCTTTACTTCCATCTGTCCCTTTAGCAATCCTTTACTAGTAATTAGACCAGATATTTCACAAAAAACATACACTTTTAGAAAACAGACTCTGGGGCGTCTGAGTGGCTCAGCTGGTTAAGTATCTGCCTTTGGCTCGAGTCATGATCCCAGGATCCTAGGATCAAGCCCTGCATCGGGCTCCCTGCTCAGCAGGGAGCCTGCTTCTCCTTCTCCCTCTGCCTACTTGTGCTCTCTCTGTCAAATAAATAAACTCTTAAAAAAAAAAAAAAGGAAAACCTTAGACTCATAGGACACACCAGTTGTTCTTTATAAAGACCTAAAAGTAACTACTTTGTGTGATAAATTCATATATCTAAACAAAATAGGACAATAAAACTGTCTTCCAGATTTAAAAGGAAACGTGCCTTTTTTCATATAGGTATGTGCTTTAGGAGTGATTCAATGTAGCTTTTATGGAAAACCAGTTATTCCTGGCACCAAAATTCTATAGAAGGGCGACAGGACAACCTGAAATGAAGAACTACTGTACTTCTGAGGATTTTAAATCTCTAACCACTTTACAACATACCCCATCTTCAGAACACTCGAAGGAAAAATAAGGGATTTACTGAAGGAACACATTGCGCACAGTAGTGAAAGGGGAACTAGAACCCATCTTGCCCTATTTCTAACACAAAATAACCCGACCACGTTACACTAACAGGTGTGTCTTCAGGGTTGAACTTGATTATTAATTAGTTTAGGCTTGTGGGGGCTACAGTCCCCACATATTTCTCATCTGCAACTTGGCCACATTGAAAGTTGTAAGAAAACTAAAAACACAATGGTCTTTTCACAGCTTCAGGAGTTACCTGTTTCTGTCACAACATTTCTGCAAACTGTGTAAAACTAAAAATGGTGTTAGGTGCACCAGAACCCAGAGAGTTCTACAATATGAGCTCCTGACATCTAAGCAACCCCAGCATACAGGGGAAATAACAAGGTGCTTAGGAGCTCTGGCTGCCAGTTACAATCCTGGGTCTCCCCGGAAAAGCTGCTCTGTGCCTCACTCTTCTTACCTACAAAATATGTTATGTACAACGGGGAGAGTCTCATGGGCTTACTGCGAGGATTAAAAATATCACATGTGCAAAATGCTCCATGAACTACTAATTATTATTAAACTCTACAAACTTGGTGGCCATATAGGGAAGTACAGAGTGTCTTTGGGTCTCGTTTTATAAAACGGAATTGCGGCTAGCTCGGTGCTCAGATAATCAAGGCAAAATTAGAGCTCCTAGACATCTGTGTACTCCACGCATTACTGAAAAACCTTCCCTTCCCTCAAGGCTGCAAATATACCACCGCTTCAAAAATGTACCATTGCTTGATTTCATCCTCTTTCTTCTTGAAGTTCTCTAATTTTTTTAGGCCCTTCACTTTCTGCTGCTGTAAGGATTCTTCGCTCTCCCACGTGCTGTGGATGTAAGACCAACCCTTCCACTTGATGAGGTACTGGACTTCACCTTCATCCTTTTCAGTGTCAAAATCACCACTAGGGTCTCCATTAGCTTCGATCGCATATACAGTAGTAGAAGCTCCAGTGGCTGCAAAAGGATTCAGGTCAACTTTAAAAAGTGTATTAAGCCAGACACTGAAAAAGCTTCTCAAGCATGCATTCATCTAAAGAGTCTCTTTGCTGGAGGAAGCACCAAAATCCTCTGACTTAAAAATATGCAGAAATTCACAAACAATACAGGATGAACAAGATTTATAATTTCAAATATTGTCAAAGTGTAAACCCAATTTCTACACTTTAAAATGTTTTCCAGAATTTGCTGGTGAAATCAAAGAAATCCTTGTATCCAAACACAATTAAAAGGGTAGAGAAATGTGCTTTTGGTTTGGTCCATACTAATTCAGGAAACAAGTCTGTCTCTCCAGGAATATTAAGAAAATAAAAATCCCCCACCACCACCCGTGCCAATTACCCATCCACCCAAAGTTCTCTATTAACTCTATTAACCTCGAGTGAGGCTGGGTGAAAAAAAGACAAAGAAAAAAGAATTAGGTAATATTTTGATATTTTCTATATGGAAGGTTACTTTAAAGAAACTGAATTAGGAGATACCTCAAGTTAAATACAAAAAAATCTTCACTATAGTCCACATACGTATCTAGCCAGTTTGATATGTTTCACAAGGAGATTCAGAAACACCTAATTAAAGGTAAATTTGTTTAATGTTTGTAAGCAAGAATCTCTGCTACATCACTGCTTTTTAAGAGATTAACACATCTTTACTATCTTAATTTTCAAGTCTCAAAGACATATTGCACGTATCCCTACATCCTCAGCAATGAACCATGAGACTGGGTCAGAAAAACTTCCAAATTTCATGCAAACCGGTGCAGCCACTGTGGAAAACAGTATGGAGGTTCCTCAAAAAGTTAAAAATAGAGCTACCCTATGATCCAGCAATTGCACTACTAGGTATTTATCCAAAGGATACAAAAATACTGATTCAAAGGGGCACCTGCACCCCAATGTTTATAGCAGCACTGTCAGCAGCAGCCAAATTATGGAAGGAGTCCAAATGTCCACTGACAGATGAATGGATAAAGATGGAATATTACTCAGCCAAAAAAAGAATGAAATCTTGCCATGTGCAACAATATGGATGGAACTAGAGTATCATGCCCAGTGAAGTAAGTCAGAGAGCGATAAATACCATATAACTTCACTCATGTGGAGTTTAAGAAACAAAACAGGTGAACATGGCGGGGGGGGGAGAGATGTGAACCAGAAAACAGACTTTTAATTGTAGAGAACAAGCTGATGGTCCCCAGAGCAGAGGTGGGGGGGGGGTGATGGGGATGAAGGAGTGCACTTGCCGTGATGAGCACTGGGTGTGGATGGAGGTGTGGAATCACTGTACTGTACACTTGAAACTAATATTACACTGTATGTTAACTAACGAATTAAAAAAAAACTTGAAAAAGCAAAAACAAGACAAACGTCCACATTTCACAACCAATGTGAGCATGGACTGAAATTCATCATCTTAGAGCTGAAATACAGAAGACTTGGGCCTTGCTGAGCAGATAGAAGAAATTTGCTTCCCGTAGACACACACCTCCTTTCTTTCCCAGCCTCGAGTCTAGGACCTTCTCAATAGTCTCGCTGTTATCCTGCTGCTCGTCGGCTCCTTCCCCAGTCATTTCAATGAGGTCGTCGGAGTCTGTCTCAAAGTCATCGTCTTCCTTGTAACTGCATGAACAAGAGTGCTGGATAAAGGAGCCTTAAACACCACCAAAGAGAACATCATCAAAGAACCACACCCTTTTGGCTCCAACATGTTGTTTTAACATCAGCTACAGTTAAAGTGGGCTCAAAGTTCTTTTTTCTCCTAAGTAATAATGCCTGTCCATAGAGAACAGCAGGAAGGCTTACTCACAGTTCAAAATAAAAACAGACTACACTTGTAGTGATTTGTGTAAGCAAGACACACACAACTCCAAGGACACAGCTATGCTTTTGTTTGGTGATATGAGATCATGACTATATAAACAAGGGAACAACTACAAAGAAAATGCACAATAAATGAAAAAAGTTACTGTTTCATTAAGCAAAAAGGAAGCAGTATGTCTAAGACTAAATGTTCAAACCGTATAGTTTGTCTCCCGATGATGACAAGAATATGAAATTCAAGTATTCTCAAACTGTTGAAAACTTCCACTAACATACTTCCTGGTAATAAAATACTAAAATGTCACCTCCCACCATATATAGACAAATAATGGTTTGGGAGTCACACGAGAGAAAAACACACTCCTGAATGTACAACAGTTGCAGGAGGAAAAAGTGCCAAACTATATGTTGGCATACTCAGCGCCTAGTCCTAGCTGTGGAATCATTAACTGGACACAGGGATGGGTTAGTATCTATCTCCAGGACTTAGCTTCACCATCTTTAAGTAGACCAGAAGAAACCTGTGTATACTCTAAAAGAAAATGAAATGCCCTTTGACTCATATAAAGTAAAATACTGATGTTTGCATGTGTCCCTTCCTCTATTTTATTTCCTGTTAGTGCTTCATATCCTATTAGTAAACTTAATAAAACTATTACGTCCGAATATGTAATCTGAACCTCAGGAGAATCTGATTAAAGGAGCGATTTAAAAGTGAGAATACGATCCAAACATCTTTCCTGAGAAAGGATGATACCAGGAACGGAGGCCTGAAATGAGCCACTGCTATGCCTTACACATTTCCACTGGCCCACACCATTCCTTCTGCAAGAACACTGATCAGATTTCTGAGTACAGCCTCCAGACCCGGGTCATTACTTTTGCCTATCAGATGCAACATCCTGGACTTACCAGGGCCAAGTTCAAACCAACTACACTATCACCCTCACACTAATGAAAGACTTCTGGGGCATCACCTACCTAACATTTTTAGCCGCTCTGCGACGAGTCTGCCTTTTAGGAGCTTCATCATCTTCATCATCGTCATCAGAAGAATCCTGCCTTTTTCTCTTCCCACGCTGAGTCTTAGGCTGCTTTTTAACACGAGCTTTGGGCACTGTTCTAAAATGAGAAGAGAAAAAAATGGCGAAGTTTTCACTCTATCCCTTGGTGTTTATTTCAAATCTTTATAATTTCCCAAAGCAGCAGTATACACATAGGATTAACCTGGGGAGTGTCAGAAATGTATATTCCTGGGTCCCATTTGCTGAGATTCTAATTGACTAGAAAATCTGCATTTTCAACACGAAGGTTGTTTCTAATGCCGAGAATCCTCCATCACATACAGGAGACACAGTGGATTCTCAGGCAATGGTTCTCAACTGTTCTTCAAGGTTACCGGACATAAAAATATACATGCAACATGTTGCTCATGGTACCTCACCCAACTCACAAATGTTTAACAATTTTACTTCTGGGAATTGCTCAGATACATACAGATACAGGCATAATAAGCTATTTATCCTAGTATGGTTTACAGTAACAAAAAATTAGAAAAACACTAAATCTTCATCAACTGGGAATCAGTTCTTGAACAGAATACTAGGTAGGTAGCCCCCCCCCCCACCTCCAAAAAAAAGCGAAACTTTTCCCTGTACTAATAGGAAAAGATTTCCAAGAGAACGAAAGAAAAAATGCAGAACAAGACACATGAAATGTTACCTATATAAAAGGAGCAAAGGGCAAGAAATCACTACACATGTATTTTTGTTACGTAATATACCTGGAAGACAACCTAAGAGTGTGCGCACCCTGCCAAACACCAGCGGAACAGGCTGAGGAGACAGCCCCATGCGTGACTCCCATGCACAGCCAGGACCGAGGGCCATAGCCTGGGTGCTCCCGGAAGGAAATCCGCAAATACGCTACCCGTGGTATAAAGGTGAAAGGACAAAGAGGGAGACGGAAACCCACAATCCTGTCTGTTTGTCTTGCACCTTCCATAACCAACGCTACACAGACAGATGACCAGGGATTCAATAAATGACGAGTAAGCTCTGGAAGAGAAGGCTGAAGTGGCGTCCCAGTCCTGTGAGCTTAAGCTTGGACAAAAGGAGACCAAACTCAGATGATGAATTTCCCTGCTGGGGTGGGGCTGGTGTACAACGTCCTAAGTCAGAGGTACGGAAATGTGTTGCTGCAAATGCCAGAGCATAAATATTTCTGGCTTTCCCAGACAAGCAGCAAAACTGAGGCCACTACATAGGCACTGACATAACGAGGGAAAATCAATTTTCACACAATTTTTATTGACAACACTCACAAGAATCATCACTCAATACACTTTCTGTGATACACATGTAATGAGAAGAACAGAATTCTTTTTGTAGGGATAACATTTCACTTAATTAAGGTTCAAATTTAGTGTTCCCTATCATCAAACTATAAATGTTTGTCTATAAAAGCTATACTTAGCTTGCAGGCCATACTGAAATAGGTGGTGAGTGGGATCTGGCCCAAAGGCAGTAGCTTGTCAACCCCATCCTACACAATACCGTGAGCTAAACTTCCCTGTGACCTCTCTCTACCTCCTGCCTTCCTTTGTCCAATACCATACCTCTGTTGCCAGACATCTGACCAGAAATCAGCAAAGTTTCCTGCCACCTCAGCTTGCTTCCTTCTCTGCACAATCAGATTCTTTGCTTAATGTTAGATTCTAAGACCAAGGTAATAAACAGTGAAGCATGCTTTCAACAGCCAGTGTTTTAAACTTAGGAATTACTTCTCCCAAAAAGAGCCTGTACACTATTCAAATACACAGGGAGCCTTTTTTAAAAGCAGAAGACATGTCCACCCCTCCTAACTAGCACGCCATGGGGTAAGAAACAGAAGCTTCGCTCTGCGCGACACACGATACAAAGACTCAAATGTAAGCGTCCCCATCATCTAATCACTTGCTAACAAGGTAGCCTGGCAAGAAGTGAGCCACAGACTTCCAAAGCCCAGAATCACAACATGTCGTAGCCCATCAACCCAGGCCGTCGTTCTAGCACTGCATCATCCTTCTCCACCTAACAGAAATTAAGCGCCACCAGAAGCAGAGATGTTCAAGCAAACACTGCACCTTCTGGGGACAGGTCTTCTGGCTTTCACTTTTTTTTGCTCTGGTTCGCTCTCTGCACTGGTGCCTTGTTCCTGTTCATCTTCTGAGGGCTCCCGTTTCCATTTTTCTCTGTGATCAAAAGCAAAGCAAAATGATTTTTTTCTAGAAGAACTCCTCAAGATTGTTTAAGCTTGAAGAATCTGACAAAACCAATCTCAATCAGATTCTCCAAAAGGCAGAACATGTATATTTTAGGCATTAGGGCTAAAAAAGGTTTATTCTAGCTCCATTTAAATTTTGGCTGTGTTCCTTCCTGGACTGTGTAATATCTATTCCTATGTTTTCTCTGGTGACAAAAATAAATGAAAATGGAAACTAAGGAAGTATTTCTTCAACTATTCTGGGGGGAACAAAAAAGCTGTTAAATCTCTCATACTCTATTTTTATTTACTACTATCACTGAACAGATTGAAGCTGTAATATATACTAGACTAGTGCTTCTCAAATTTAAGATGATCAGAACTACCTAAAGGACTTACTAGAAGAAATTTCTGGACTACAGCCAGTTTCTGATTCAGCAAGTCTAATAAGGGGCCTGAAAATTTGAATCTTAACAAATTCAAAGGTGACGCTAATATTGGTTAGAGACTCGTTCTAGAACTACTATACTAGATATTTTAATATCTTTAGAATATATTTGATGAAACAGTTCCTAAAATTATTTTTCACTGATAAACCTACCACCTACTAAATAATCTGTTCAGCTAAAGATGTAGTTTTTAATAATTATTAGATACAGTAGGTGTTCCTTTGCTCCTTGAGATCTTAGAAGGCTTTAAAGAGCCATATCTTATAGGTCTCTCCTACCACCCCAGCGTTGAGGTTTAAATAGCAAATGTGGTACTTAGGCTCGTTTCTAGGAAAGAAGGAAGAACATATAGCCACTAGGCAAGAAATATCCAGAAAAAAAAAAAAAAAAACACACTGAACTCACAGGCAAGTACCTGAGGTATGACAAAACAATCACCACTGTGTCATTTCCCTTGGCATAGGTGACTGCTTCTGGGCAGGGCCACTTCTGTTCATCTTTGTACCAGAGCTTAGCACAAAGGCAAGCAAATGGAGGGAGATACTCCTTTGTTAAATAAGTAAATAATTAAGAATGAACCCTATCAGTCTAACAAACAGGTAGGGTACTTTTTGGAAGCAGAACTGCTAAGACACTAAGGTCTATTAATATTGCCTAATATCCTTCCTTCTCTCTTTTAAACAAAGACCTCCTTATGTCTAACTATACTCTGGGCACCTGTCTTAGTCTCCTTCCCTAGAACTTAGTACAATAAACGTTTGCTAAGGAATCAAAGGAATAGAAGGGGATGGCCAGGAAGGAAGATGTCTCCAGGCACGGCGAGATTGGCACATGAGGCTGTATTCTTCCTTGGACCAAGTTCAGAACAGCTTACCCCTTGGAAGGGGCTCACATTGTCAAACTGGAAATGTGGTTTTACAGGAAAGAAGCTTGAAAGAATACAAACAACTAAGATGTAAGGGAGAGAAGATCATATGAGAAAGATCCACAGTCAAATATTAGTTGTAATTTACAGAACTCCACAGGAACTGAGAATCTCAATCAGGGCAGCTAAGGAATCCACTTCTACAACTCTAAGAGACTAAAATGGCAGTCAACTTGACAGAATCAGTGTTGAGGCTTAAGTTTTCCAGTTAAACTGCAGGTGTATAGACTTATGGACAACGAGGAAGACTCAGAATCTTCCAGTATGAGAATGTACAAAAACTGAGCAAAACAACTGGCCCAAAGGCCTCCTCCTAGAGAAGGAAACTAAAGCCCAGTGAGAACAAGATGTTTGGCATTTTTTGTCAAACCTCCAGCCTTCCTCCTCTCAATCATAACCCACTGAAGACCAGAGAATCAGGAAAAGCCAAGCTTACACATTCTGGGAGGATCTGAACAACTGAAGGCTTTAAAGGCCTAAATGAGTTAGTCTATACAAGTATTTGAAATTCGCTGGATTATTTAAAAAAAATTTTTTAAAGATTTTATTTATTTATTTGACAGAGAGAGACACAACGAGAGAGGGAACATAAGCAGGGCGAGTGGGAGAGGGAGAAGCAGGCTCCCCACCGAGCAGGGAGCCCGACGCGGGGCTCAATCCCAGGACCCCGGGATCACTACCCGAGCCTAAGGCAGACGCTTAACTACTGAGCCACCCAGGTGCCCCTATTTTAAATTTTATTTTAACTTTCAAGAACAGGGGGAAAAGTAACTTAGGATCAGTGACTCTAAGTCACTTTGTATAAAGAGGAGGTGAGAAGAGTGATCAGTTACAAAAAGATTACTTCCCAACCTTATAGATGTTAAGGGCTCTCCTAGAGCACTGGTGTCTTATAGATAATGCAAATTTTAGGAGGAGGACTCCCTGACTAAGCCATACATTACAAGTCAGGCTACAATGAGAACTTGTCTAAAATATAGATTGTGGGGCGCCTGGGTGGCACAGTTGGTTAAGCGACTGCCTTCGGCTCAGGTCATGATCCTGGAGTCCCTGGATTGAGTCCGCATCGGGCTCCCTGCTCGGCGGGGAGCCTGCTTCTCCCTCTCCCACTCCCCCCTGCTTGTGTTCCCTCTCTCGCTGTGTCTCTCTCTGTCAAATAAATAAATAAAAATCTTTAAAATATATATATATATATATATAGATTGTGATTCGGATGCCTGGATGGCTCAGTCAGTTAAGTGTCTGCCTTTGGCTCAGGTCATGATCCCAGGGTCCTGGGATTGAGTCCCGCATCGGGCTCCTAGCTCAGCAGAGAGCCTGCTTCTCCCTCTCTCTCTGCAGCATCCCCTGCTTGTGCTCACTCTCTCTGATAAATAAAATCTTTAAAAAAAATAAAATAAAAGATTGTGATTAAAAAAATTTTCATATGTCAAAGCAGACTTGAACTGCCAGATCCAGCTCTAAGAGGGCATAAGCGGGATTCCTAAGAGGGAATCAACAGAATTTTTTTAACCAAAATTTTGGGAACTGGGGAGAAAAATACTAAGATTTGGCCACTGAGGCCCCAAGGCAATGTAAATAGACATGAAAGAGTCAGAATGCAAGCTAACTAGGTATAGTTTTCTTCCTTTACTGGAAAAAGGTGTTTGGCAGAACACAGACCCTGAGACACAAAATCAAATCTAAACAGCTATGAAGGAGGGAATGAACAAAATTCCTTTGCAAATAAAACAGGCCTGAACTCTGGCCAAGAGTCACTGAGGCTTCCTACTAACTATCTCTTAAGAACCCAAAGAAAGGGATCTCTTTCTCCTCTACTGTGAAGGCAGATCAGGAAAAAAAGGAAAGAGCTGTTTAAACTTCATTTATTTTTAGTACATTTTCCCAGAGAGAACACCTTTCAGGAGCAAGTTCCAATGAAGAAGGAAAATCTGGGGCTAACAGATTCTCCTCCACTGCGTCACGAGTTTGTGATCGAGTTCCAACACAAAGTACTGGAAAGAAAAAAATAACTATGATCACAGGAGAAAAACTTCAAGTGATTTATGGCTAACACTTTTTTTTTTTTAATTACAGTTGGGAGAAAAGCTTCTGGAACCATTCTAGAGTGGTTTGAAAGCACTGATGGGACCATAATGAGTCAGCAAAAATCCTATACAACATTTCACGAAATTGGACATTAGTAAGTACGGCATGGAACAGAGTTCAGTGATCAAAACAGCAGGAGTGGGTTAAACACAAAAATTTTATTAGTTTATATGACTAGGTCAGGGGTTACAATCTCAAATACCCACTGGGCCAGGTAAGGACTATAAATGGGATCAAATGGAGAACCCCGAGTCCATCAGGTTAAAAAGACCACTGTTCCGGCGGTCAGCATTGACAGATTTTTCTCAAAAGCTAGAAATCTGGATTCTTGAGCACCATTTCTCAAATTTTTAACGATGCCAACTAACTTGAAAAATGTTTTCAATATTGTACAGAAGCATTACGCTGTATAACTTCTAAATTTTTAAAATGCTAATTCACATTATGACTCTGGGGAGAGTTAGTCCCTTGTGAGACTATTCTTTAAAAATGCCAAAGTCAAAAAAGCAAAGAAGTGTGAAAGCACTGTGAAAGTGCTCTAAAGAAACCTGACTACTCATACAGTATCTAACCCTAGAAGGGACCCTGCAGTGGAGGTAGGAAATGTTTTAAGATGATATTGGGTCAATTAACAAAATGGGAATATGAATTAAGACAAAAGTATTTTAGCAATGGTAAACCTATTTATATTAAAACCACCCTGTGCTTATGAAATAAGAGTATTCTTCTTCTTAGGAAATCCACACTTCAGTATTTAGGGGTAAAAGGCCATGATATGTGTCAATCTTAGTCTTAAATGGTTCAGAAAAAATATTACGTGCATACATATATTAATATATACAAAGAGAGCACCCACAACAATAAAGCAAATGGGGCAAAAGTAGTAACCAGTGGGGCGCCTGGGTGGCTCAGTCATTAAGCGTCTGCCTTCGGCTCAGGTCATGATCCCACGGTCCTGGGATCAAGCCCCGCATCAGGCTCCCTGTTCAGCGAGATGCCTGCTTCTCCCTCTCCCACTCCCCCTGCTTGTGTTCCCTTTCTCGCTGTGTTTCTATCAAATAAATAAATAAATCTTTAAAAAAAAAGAAAAGAAAAGTAGTAACCAATGGCAAATCTGGGTAAAGTACACAGGCATTCCTTGTACTATTTTTATTCTTATAACTTTTTTAAAGTTTAAATTAAGAAGAAAAGTTAATAAAAATAGCTCCTTTGAAAAAACTTCAGAATCTGTGGTACAGTCTGAAGGGTTTCAGAAAAGCATTTCCCTGTGCTAATATTTCAAAATTTCCACTCTGAGTCTCTCAATTCTGAAATCCATGTGCCCACACACTAGGTTCTGTTAAGCTTGCTCAGATCACAGAGGGCCCCCTTTAGTGCTGTGCCTTCCAATTTGAGTCTTAACAGCTGTAGCACCTCCTCAATTAATCCTACTAATTAAACTGACTCAAGAGAAGAGCTCCCCATAAACCCCAGTACTCACCTGCTGCCCAGAGGATGGCAGGAAGTGAGGCTAGCCCAGTGCCCCCCAAAAAACAAGCATGAGGGGAACTCCGCAGCTCTCAAAAGTTCCTAAGGAAGAGCCTGGGGCGGGGAGGCAGCCTTACAGAAGATACACCCACCTACAAGGAATCTTAGTTCTACTCAGCGGAAGGAAGGCCTCTGAGGGCTGTCAACTTTAGAGAACTCTCCGGATTGACAGAAGGAAATAAGTACAGGGGCCAGTGGGCTTCTGCACAGTAGGTGTTCAAGCACAGCACCATTTAGATCCCAGTCAAGAGACCAGCAGAATGTAGCTAGATGGTGGAGAAAAGACCATGTGCATGGACTTCCCAAAGGCCCCCAAAAGGCCATTAGACCCAGAATAGCTTCCCAAGCAGGCCATAGGACTGGAGTAGAACAAAAGCCTTCTAAGATGCCAAAAAGTACAGGCTTGCCTACAGTTTTTCCTCCAACTCTTAACTAAATATTTAAAACACAAATGAAAATTGGATGTGCTCTGGGGAGGGCAAAACTAAATACCTTAACTTTTCCTGGCATACCAGCAACACTGTTAGTTTTGGAAATGAGAAAACTGGTTTAAATAATTCTAACTCCTTTACCTTAGGCCAAATACTTATTAAGGAATACTAATATTTTAGGACAGAGAATATATATAACTGGGATTCTATTTTAATAGGCACCATGGACAACTATTCACCATGAGAAACCCCTGAATTTGTCTGCCAGGTTTTCAATATCTGCATTTTCAAATGCAGCCCCAAGGAGATGGGCTGTAGAATTCAGATTGTCAAAGAGATCCAGACCCCCTCCAAGGATGATTTTTAAATTCTAAAATAAATAAATAAATAAAATATTTTTTCACCATAAGTAGCATTTGCAAATTTTAAATATAATGAATATATAATCTACGTTTTAAAGGAATTTCACATAAGCCCAAGAATTAAAATTTTCTGGCTTGTGAACTGCAGTATTAAAATTATACAGTAACAACAGTGTGAAATTTCATACTCCATTGGGTGTCCAGTCCAGCCAATATAATTATGCCACACCCATACAAAGAACACATGAAAAGGAAAAAAGCCAATCTACATTTGTTCCTTGTTCAACCAGAACAGAATCTGTGCACATTTTAAAGAAAACCACAACTGGGCTAATGGGCTAACCAGGTGGGACAAGCTGGAGCCCAGCCCATGGGGGACACATACAAGACGGAGTCTCTGGGCTTCGAGGGCTGCCGAGGCAGCGGGGCCCAGTGGACAGTGGCCCCCGACAGCAAGAGGGGCAGCAGACTCTGGGACCCAGGGTGGACTACCACACAGCGAAGGCAGCGCCACAGCAGTGGATGCGCTCAAAACCCCTGGGTGAAGTACGTGCCCATGAAAGACTTACTGTTTCTTCAGCTGCCTCTGGCCTCTTCTTTTTGGGCTCCCACTCTCAGACCCGCTACTTGCCTTCAGTGTGTGGGGGGGGGGGAGAAATGATCACAGACTTTAATTCACAGTTCTTAGGGACAACACGACCCCCTGGTTCAACAATCTGCTCCGTAATAACATTATTCAATATGAGCTTTCAGACAAAAGAAACCTGTGTTTGGTGGTGCTCACTCTTCTCTTCCTTTGAAAATTAATTCGCCTATTATAATGGGGTTACCTCTAACACCAGGAAGTATTTCTCTCGGCTTGACTTCTACAAGGGCGCAGTCCAGTAAAATTCTCTGTGATGACAGAAATGTTCGGTATCTGCAGGATCCAATCTAGTAGCCAGCAGCCACATGGGACTACTGAGCCCCTGAAATGTGCCTAGTGCGACTAAGGAATAGAATCTTTCCTTTAACTGGACTTTAATACGAATTTTAAAAGCTACATGTTAGTGGCAACCACACTGGATACTGCAGATCTAGAATATCATGTGAAAATGCCACATTTAGTGTGCCATTAAAGGTGGTGACCTACTGATCTATTCCATTTCAGACTCATTAAACAGCATGATCAATCATGAGCCAACAGTGCTCTGCTGATAGCACTAGGCCAAGGGAAGTTTATAGTCAAAAACATCTGAACAGCTCTGTTCCCCCCAAAGTTAGGCAAATTGGCAAATATTCCTACTGCTGTTAGTCCTGTGCCCTACCAAGAATGTGTTAATTTATATACAAAAGAGGAAAAGAGTGACACAATTATGTGACTGGTTGTAACCAACATGGCTCAGGAACCTAGTCCTAGACATCGAGGAAAAAGAAAGCGAAGGTAAACCAGCTCAGAGGTCATTCAAAAGAAAACACCATGAAGGCAATATGGACATTACAGTCAATTAGATCTGTATAGTACATTCACCAAAATCCCACCCCCAACTCACTAACCTCTGGATATTAATATTTAACTTTCATCAAAAGGATGTTACATAGTTAAGAACAGCAAAGTCCTCCTAAGAATGCAGGAAGGGCATTTCACTGAGACACAAAAGAGCATCTCTTCAGAATGCGGTCTATAAACCTAATATAGAGGTAAGAATTGACAAAAATACCAAACTAACTGAGAAAGGTGAGAAAAGTCTGATGCTATAGAAACAACAGAACCCAGTACATAATACCAGTTTTTGAAAATCACCAATCTGTTCAATCTCTCACAATTAGATCAGAGTAAATATGTGTGAAGTATTTTATACTGCACACTAAAAACAGAAAGCAAATTTAAATGAGTTAAAACACATTACTTAAGTTAAACAAACTCTCCTTCCTTTCTCAGAAAATAAATCTGAAACTACGTCCACTATTACATTTACCAAGCAAGTGACTCATTTAACAAAATCTAGATTTAGAAACTAGGTATTTTAAAAGGTAAACGTCTTGTAATAATCAATTTCACTTAAAATACAGAAACATTAAAAAAAAAATGTGAGGCCAATTCTGTATAATACTCTAACACTCTACTAAAACATTATGACACAATCTTCCTGGTAAATTTCTTTAAAAGCCACCTGTGGTTTTCCTTGCAGTTCTAAGTTGAGAAAGCTCGCATCAGAGTAACTTAACTCTCAGGCATAAAGCTCAGTCACGCTAATGGGAACATACACACCAGAGTTGAAAAGGATGAGGTAAGGTAAGGAGTTTAAAGTATCCCCTTAAAGCATTTCTTTTTCTTACCTCCTCCTTAATATTAAATCGTGATGGTTCTTGTCTGCTTCGGTTTGACCGCCTAACCCCATAAACATCAGGATATTCTTCCCACATCTGTAAAATTAACAGACCATGTGTGAATCCTTTTTTCTTGATCCCCCAACCCCCATTTACTATTTTCGTTACTGGAACATGTATCTCCACCTAAGAAAATTCAAGTAACTAAATATCAAAAGGGTTGTTTTGTGTTAGCTTTGTTTAGAGATAATAAAGTACCATTTGTATTATCCTGGAACACAGTGAAGTTTAACAACGCCTCTTCTTTACTGAATGACTCTTAAAACTACATGACACACTGATTAGTCGTCATTAAAATATGAACTTACAGTTGAATAACACGGTAAGGCTTCCACTAAAGACAAAGTCTTTACTGATGAATTTTAAGTCCCTAATGCTTTCCAGTTTCAGCTGTGACTGCACACTGACCCATCTGGGAACTCAAAAAACAAGCAGGGCCCCAACATGTCTAATTAAATAAGAATCAGGACATTTGTCTATTTCTTTAAATTCCTCAGGATGCATAACATGCCAGAAGCACACATATTGGGCATTTCTGACACTTAGCTAGAAGCTCCCAGAACGAGCACCACTGCCACTCTTTCTCTGGAACATTCCATGTTATTCTCCAACAGTAGTTACCCTTTGCTTGATTTTCGGGACTTGATTTTTAGTAACAATCCTCACTAGCGATCCAAAAAAAAAAAGTAGGGACACCTGGCTGGCTCAGTCACATGCAACTCTTGATCTCAGGGTTCTAAGTTCAAGCCCTATGTTGCTTATACAGATTACTTAAAATCTTTAAATAAGTAGGCAGCTCTTTCTGCCCATGGGGTCCTATTCCCGTGCTTTCCTAAAACCATCTTTTTGCACCAGAAAGAAAGAAAGAAAGAAAGAAAGAAAGAAAGAAAGAAAGAAAGAAAGAAAGAAAGAAAGAAAGAAAGAAAGAAAGAAAGAAAGAAAGAAGAAGGAGAGTTTAGTTGAAGAGAAAGGGCTATGTTTGACAATATACCAACATCATCTTACAAAAAGACTCAAATCAACAAATCTACAGAAAAAATGTAAAAGGCCCCACCAACCTCTAACAATGAGAGTCTATAACCCCCAATCTCACTCTCCTTCCCACAGGTAACTAGTACCAAGTATATCATGTGTTCTTTTAATGAAATCAGTCACACAGAGGCAAAATGAATCTGGACGGATTGTGGAACACTGAAATGAAGAATAAACATGTAGAAGAAATGCCTGAGAGCCAAGATTAGAAATGTGGGTTTGTTGTCAAAACACAGGTGACAGCAAATGTCATGAAAATATTTAGAAAGTGAGGCCAGACGAGAAGCCACTGGCTGAGACTCATGAAGTGTGTGGAAAGTGGACCCCAAAAAAAGACAAAATCGATGAAAGACAACTCAGAAAAACAGAATGTCACTAAGGCAAGGGAGGATATTACCAAAGTGCCTTTAAAAAAAAAAAAAGCCAAGTAAGCTGAAGAAAACCAAGGCCTCCAAAGAAACAAGCAAAATGTTCCAGGAAAAGGCATTTTAGAACAAGAATCCAATTTAATCACGTAATCCAGTGTTCTCAGTTTATAAAGGTGACAAATCCATAATGGCCTTAAAATAATTTCAGAGTCAAGAGGACAAAAGGTCCAACCAGAAAGAGTTAGGAATAACCAAGTAGCAGGAAATCTAGGTGAGAGAGGCAGCAGAACACTGAACAAATCTGGAAGAGAAAGGAAGGGGACAAAAAGGTTTACTCTAGTCATGCCAACCCCGACCTCGACCCTGACCCCTTTCTGGACTTCTGCTAGAGCTATGAAATTTCTTTACTCAGCACAGGTATTTAAGGAGCTTTTTATAAACTGGGATGGCTAAATCATTTAAAAGACCACCAATTAGTTTTATCATTTTAAAGTATTAGGCATCCAAGCTCAACTGCTGGGACTGTATTACAGGATATACTGTAACGTATACATATTAACATCATCCTGAGTTCATCTCCGTCCTTTTGAGGGCTATAATATCTAATTCAACCCTTCAGTAAAAAAGCTACCATGTAAAGGGATGTGTATACAGAAAACAAAGAGTCTCCCACAGAAGTTCTCATTTTAGACTAGTATCATCAAAGTCACAATCCAATCATTCTAACTGGTTAGCACACCCACCCACGAGTTAACCTTATTATTTAACTTCTTGGAATTGAAGGCCTTAACTTTGAAAGTATATTTTAATATTTCTGCCTGAGGCTGTACTTCTATTTTGAAATTCAGTCTTAGTAATGATTTCCCTTCTTTGTTCCTTTTTATTTTTTTATATAGGATTAAATATATAAGGTCTTAAAACTTAACCGCTGTGAATCCTAATCAAACAATTTCAGTGAAGTTTTAGACACTACGTTAAGTAATGGTTTCTATGGCTTCCTTTCATCTCTGCAAGTAAAGAACTCTTCACTACACAGATGAAAGTTATATCCACACTTTCTCCACCCACTATACTTCCTTCAAAAGTATGCGGTGGTGTTCTGAAAAGAGCACCTGATCCAGATGTAGAGGAAACCAGGCTCTGACATTTACACTCTGAAGATTGCCAAGCAAAGCCTTCTGCTACAAGCCTGGGTAGTAAGTTTCTGAGTTTAGTGATACTCAGAGCAAAATCTCTAAGAGGAGCTTCTACACGCAGGGTCTTCTTGAATCCCTTCTTATGAAAGGTCCACCCACACACTGGGCAGGAAACAAGGTACAGTACTTGAGTGTCTGAAAGTCACTCCTCTGCTGACTAAAGTAGCAAGGACAGCTTTCATTTTCCTATCCCTCACAGCACATCTGTTGAAGCATCTGTTGAAGCTATTCTGCAGCCTGCAGGTAATTTAAAATTGTACTACTACAAAAATCTGAGCGCTTAGATGAAGATTTCTATCTTAGAAAATAAAAACGGATTTTGCATAAAGCTTTTAATTTCATTAGGGCATTTTATTTTTAAATTTCTAAAAGAATATTCTTTCCTATTTTCAGTGATTGAAACACAATTGTTTCAAAATGGAATTTTAAAAGATCAGCTGCATTCTTATAATTAGGCCAAGTCATTAATTTTTCCCCAAAAGGAATGCACTCCAAAGTTTGTGCATCAAGGAGAACACACCTCACACTTGAATTTTTGCCTTTTTGCATTCTTTGCTAGAAGACTCTTCTCTGTTAAGTGAACCATACCTACATTGCCTAGATGCAGATACTTTTTTTCCTGAGAAGTATTTCTCTTCCATCCTTCAGGTAAGAAAAACTACCCTTATTCTTGAATTGTTATCATCCATCACTAAGCTTTACAACTGCTTCCATAATCATCTGTCACTAGCTCTCTCCGGTACTGTGCAGTATTGACTACTAAAATGTTAAAAACCAAACTATTAGGGGTGCCTAGGTGGCTCAGTTGGTTAAGGATCCGACTCTTGATTTCAGCTCAGGTCATGATCTCAGGGTCGTGAGATTGAGCCCAGTGTCGGGTTCCGTGCTGGGCATGGAGCCTGCTGAAGATTCTCTCTCTCCCTCTCTCTTTGCCCCTCCCCACTGCCGCTCGCTTGCTCTAAAAAAAAAAAAAAAAAAAAAAGAAAATTATAAAAATTTGCCTTTTTGCCTTGTAATTTGACGGTTCATGTAATTATTTTCCTTATGGCCCTATGTCTACTATATCAAATAGCAGAAGAGAAAGCAGTCCCTGTTTATATCCAAAGGCAGTAGATTATTACAAAAGGTAGCTATAGTTTTCATTATCCAGATCCACTAATGAGTTTTCCATGGGAAACAAAGGTCTGCTAGTTTGTCCTAGCTAGCAGCACATTTTCACTGTATAGCAAAGTAGATACCTTCTTCACATCAGCTATCCGCTCCTTCTTAGAGGCTGGCTTTTCTTTAGCTTCTGGAAGGACTGGCTGGGATTTGGAACCCGCCGACTCACTTTCAGATTCCGACTGGCTCTCTGAAGACTCAGAACTGCTATTTGACTCACTGCCATGTCCACTTCCTGGATCGCTGCCCTGCTCACTCTCAGACTGGCTGCCTGAGTCTGAACCGGAAGCTTCTTCAGATGCTGAGTGACTTAATTAAAAAAAAAAAAAAAAAATTTAAAATTTAAGAACTGCCACATAAATCTGTTTTTAAAAAATTTCACATAAATCTGTATTTTAAAAAGTGGTAAAATGATAGCAGAGAATAATTCTGGTAATATAAAATCAGAATCTTCAAATTCAGATTTATATTCTCATATTGCAAATAATGTCATTATTATCATTCCCAACACCCCTAGCAGCTACCATTTCCTGAGTGCTTAGATCATGCCATATACCACTTAATTTGTATAGGTTAACTCTTTTATAAAACTCCAAAGAGGGATATTATTTTCTCCTTCACTCAGATGAGGAAAAACTAAAGCTCAGAAATAATTAAGCAAGTCTCCCAAGTTGACACAGGCAGAATTTGAAACCAGGTCAACCAGTCTGGATCCACTAAGTCTTATTTGTTCAGTAAATCAGTCTCTCCCTCCTCAAGACAGACCCCCATACACACACACTCAAAGGAAAAACCCAACACAGAACAAAACAAAACCAAGACAAAGTTACCCAAAGAGTAAGAATGCAATCTGGTTGCAATTATCCAATCACTGGTTCTCAACAACAGGTGCAAATCAGACTCCTCTGGAGAGCGGTATGAAAACAAATACACATTCACCCCAACCAGAGGTCCTGCCTTGCATTCTCTAGCAATGAGTCTGGCCCTGGTAGACTTAACAGAAAAAAATAAAAAGAGCATTCTGAGTCTGATGTGAACCCCTAATCCAAAAAAGACCACTATCGGCTACCACATATCCCACCCCTTCCTCATTCCAAACACCCCTCAGGAAAGAGCAACCTAAGGAGGCAGATGACAGCAGAAGCCACAAACGCCAGAAGGCTATGGGAAGACAGGGTATCAATCCCGGGAGCCAAGTAGGCAATATGCCCTCCCCGTAGAGTAAAAACCAATTCAGGGGCACATTGGTAGCAGTGAAGTTACTTTCAAGGGAAAGACCTAAACTGGACGAACTCCAGAAAAAGACCTGGGCAGTTCATTCAACTCTTCTGCTTAGAGCTGGAGCACAGGAGGGGAGGCAAGTAGCAACCCAGACCCCAGGGTTAACGGTAACTTAACAGAAGGGGCCCTGAATTTAGCACGCACGAGAGAAAAGACACATGGCATGAAGCCCAAGAGGGTAAAGAAGTGATGCTTTGAATTTACCACCACTGTATCTTCCCAACAGCAATGAGGGCCTATCACTTGACAGACATGTCCACAGAATGGATAGGGCAGTACACTGGGACCTGGGATTGATCCCCCAAATCCCATGTGAGCCACAGTAAGCACATTACAGCACAGGGGACTTTTAGTTAAGCTGAGGAAGCAATCAATGAGATCGGGGGCGGGGGGGGAGCCTAGCCTGAGGAAGGGGAAAGAAGGGAAAAACCACATACTAATTGCCTAATCATCTAACAGGTGCCCAGCATTACTCGAAGGACTTTATATGTATGATCTTGCTTATTACCCGGAACAACCCTATTAGGAATTATTATCCCCATGTGAAGGATGAGAAAACGGAGGGACGTCTGGGTGGCTCAGTCGGTTAAGCGTCTGCCTTCTGCTCAAGTCATGATCCCAGGGTCCTGAGATCAAGTTCCGCACTGGGCTCCCTGCTCAAATGGGGGCCCCTGCCTGCCACTCCCCCTGCTTGTGCACCTGCACACGCACGTGCGTGCTAAGTAAAAATAAATAAATCTTAAAAAAAAAAAAAAAAGGGATGAGAAACCTGAAACAGTAGGGATCCCAACCCCCAAGCCTGGCTCTAATGCCCATATTCTGTTTTACCACAAGGGTTCAAAACCTTAGCGACTCAGAAAATAAAACCTTTTCCCTGTTATACAATGTCCAAAACCAGTCAAGCATCCCTGTAACAGGTGACTCAACACTCCCAAGGCCTCATTATACGGACTCCTTGGCCCTTTGGACAGTAAAAGCTGACTAATCCAGCTGACTAAGGCATCTTAAGTCACTTATTGTCCCCCTGTGACCAAGCATGAGGTGGTCACAAGGCAAAGAAAAGAAGGAGGAAGGCTGGACAGTGTAGTGCCAAGTGCAGGCTTCAGCATCCATGGCTCGGGTCTCGGTTCCAGCTCCTCTCTCACTGCCATGCCGCTCTTTAACCTGCGCCATCCTTGGCAAGGTCATGAGGGCACCAAATGGCAGGCAGGACAGCAGGACCCTATAAATGACAAGGCCTTACCCAAACATTAGGATTTTCAGAATTTCACATCTAAGCTCAGGTTCCCCTTCTAACACAAAGTTCTCCCCAGCTAGCGCTCATTAGTGAATCGGTACCACACAATCTATGGCCATAGTTGGAATTTATCACCTTTGCCTCCACCATTCGATCACAGACAGTTTTAAAGGTACAGAGGCAGCTCCAGAACTTCCTCAAGAGGAGTTTAGAAAGAAACCCCTTTCCACTTGAAGGGGTGTTAGGAATGTACTTGGAGGCTGCCGTTTACATAGCCAAAGCACCCACGTGCTCAGAGAGGCCTGGAGGATTAGGAGCTGGCTGCCCGCCTCCCCCCCAGCCACCCTGCGCCTGGTCACTGGGAATACCCAATCTCAGTGCCCTGTGAAACCTCCCTCCACAAGTTCTCAAGACTCAGTGCTTCAGCCTCCTTTCCCCCACCCCCACCACTCCAGCCTTACCGAACCACTTGTAGGGCCCACAGGGAGCCCGAGTATTGCTCACCTCCAATCTCTGCTGGTGGCAACTACCTCCTCTCCAATCTTGAAGCCTCGAGTATTACACCTTCTCTAGGAAAGCATTCTTTGTGCCCTCTCCAATCCTAAACTCAGTGCCTATTAAGTACTTCCCTGATACTCTGCCACAGCGTTACTGCCCCTGGGAACTCAAGCGGACAGCCTCACTTCCGTCTGAGAGTCAACCACCATGTTCCACCGGCTCTCCCCACTTTTAGCAATGACACACACCCCAGCCGGGGAACGGGCTCAAAGCCCCAGCTATTCACACCTATGCCTCTTCGCCTCCCTTGTGTCCCATCCTATACAAGTAACGTGGTCACTTGTCAACCTCCCCAACAGACCTGAGAGCTAAACTGTCTTCTTTGATGTTCCCTGTACCTGGTGTGCTAGAGAACAGACAGGGGAACTCCCTGACTTCGCCAGAATACGCAATCTTTTTGAAACCCTTTTGAAATGAATGGTTTTGTTTTTTAATTACTATAATGCGTACTATCTCCAGACATGAGATTAAGGCTAGAATCACATATTGGTAGTCACCACCAAATAAAACTGTTACAAGACCATAGGATGTTCCATGAAATACAGAACATTCCAACAAGACAGAAAATATCCAACTCTCAACTTAAGAACAGAAAGCCACAAATAGCAGCATTAGTCTGCTGAAGATAACCAGAATAGTTCAGTTAGCTGGAAATCCTGTGAGCATTTTGTGTTGAAAAGCAGTAATCGCTGTAGATGTGATGGGAATGTCCCATGCCAGCACCTACATCCAGGTATGTATACAAGTAGGATCTTCACTCCCTTTAACTGCCTCGTAATATGGATACACTACATTTTATTTAATCTGTCCCCTACTCATGAGACATTGAGGATATTTTTTTTTTTAAAGATTTTATTTATTTATTTGACAGAGAGAGAGACACACACAGTGAGAGAGGGAACACAAGCAGGGGGAGTAGGAGAGGGAGAAGCAGGCTTCCCGCGCAGCAGGGAGCCCGATGCGGGGCTCGATCCCAGGACCCTGGGATCATGACCCGAGCCGAAGGCAGACGCTTAACGACTGAGCCACCCAGGCGCCCCGAGACATTGAGGATATTCTTAAACGGTTCTCTTAACCAATAAGCTACAAATATCCTTGATATACTTCCGTATTTCTGTATTTCTGACTAGAATATTTAGATTTCCAAATCGCTCACTGTAACCAACAAACTATAAATAACCTTGTATATGCCTTCTTGTGCAGCGCATACTTGTGTTTGTGTAGGAAAGCGACCTCTGGAAATTAACAGTGTAACAATAGCTTTTAAGGAAAAAAAAACACAACCATGTTTCTATCAACACCTATCTATGTGCATAGATACTTTTTTTTTTTTTAAGATTTTATTTATTTATTTGACAGAGAGAGAGAGAGCACAAGCAGGGGAAGCCGCAGGCAGAGGGAGAGGGAGAAGCAGGCTCCCAGCTGAATGTGGGGCTTGATCCCAGGACCCTGGGATCATGACCTGAGCGGAAAACCAAATGAGCCACCCAAGCCCCAAGCATAGATACATTTTAATCACCAAACTGTTAACAGTGGTTTATTCTGTTGGATGAGTTATTTGAAGTATACTAATGGATAGGATGAACTACTTGTGTAATTTCAAAAAAAAATTAGTATGAAAATCAAACCTCTAAAAAAATTAACACCAAATTCACAACTGTACTTACCTCTAGAGTTGAGGGAGGCAGATGTGATCAGAGCATAATGACATTGATGATGTTTTGTGACTGAAGATGAGTGGTGAGTTGTAAGTATCAGTCTTTTCAACATTGAAAATGGTTCATAATAAATCCAGACAAAAGAACCAAATGCAAGGCAAGGGATATAAGTACCCCAATCCTACACAAAATGAGCTACAGATTTGAATGAAAGACTGTTTTTTAAATTACTTCTGAAACTATCAAGTCAAATATGACTTTAAACATAAATGACTTATTAAATATAAGACTTAAAATAATATTCAGGGAAAAACAAAAGTGTTCAAAAAAAAGAAAAAGCCTTCCCACAGCTAATGTCATACTCAGTGGTGAAAAGGCTGAGCTTTTCCCATCAGATGAGGCACAAGACAAGTGTGCCCACTCTCACCTCTCCTGTTCAACACAGTACTGTAAGTCCTAGCTAGAGCAATCAGGCAAGAAAAGGAAATACAACGTAACCAAAAAAGAAGTAAAATTGTCTCTATTTGCAGATGACATGATTTTATATGGAGAAAATCCTAAAGACTCAACCAAAA